GTAAACAGATTATTAATTTATTCACCCATGAGGGATGTACGCAATTATAATTATATTAAGATAACCTTTATTATTATTTGTCCTCAAGTGAGTCTCACCGTTCATTACAGGGTAGCGGAGAACAACACAGCCACAATCAGTAGCGGTGCTGCAGTGCGCATCCACATAGAACTGATACTGCTGTCAGCATTAGCCTTATTCTGTACTGTGGAAGTGATGGTGTTGGTGATCTCTGCGTTGGGTGCAGGAGATGTAGTGGTGGTTGGTGCTTCACTGGTAGTACTCTCAGTGCTCGTCGGAGTAGTGGAAGTGTTTTCTTGTGAGTGTGGTGCGGCAGTTGCATTAACAGGTGCAGGAGAAGGTTGTTGAGGAGTATTATTATCACCGTGTGCACTGTTATCCCCTTTATTACTTAATGAACTTCGGTTCTGTTGTGGTGCTGTATTAGACGTTTGAGTTGGACCTTGTTCTGTAGTTGTTCTTGGTCCTGATTCCGGTCCATTTATTTGACGAGTGATGGCACTACCTGAATTCTCTTGATGGTGATCCGTTCCTTCAGCAAGAGAAGAACTTCCACTCTCACCCTTACCGTTTTCCCTTTGACCGTCTGCAGCTGAATGTTCGAGATTATCTTCCGTTGTTTGTGTCACATGTAATCCATCTGATTCCGTTCCATGTGAAGCTCCAGAAAGGTTTTGAGGTCGTGGTTCACTACTATCCGATCGCGGACTTCCAGAGGAACGTTCTTCCTTGTCAACCACTGAAGGTTTAGGTTTCCAATCCTTTCTGTCTTTCAGCCACTCTGAACACTTCTTTTCAGCAGGATCACTACTCTTCCCAACACAAGTAATGACTTCGTTAATAGGTTCTCCATCCCACGGGGAATACAAGCCCTCAATATCCTGTGGCTTCGGTGCCCCTTCAGCAGCAGCAGCCGTCATGGTATACCCGCAGGCGCAGCAAAGCAGAACGGCCAACACACACATCACACGGCGCATCATCATCATGAGAGAGACAAGGGGTTTGTTTCACGTAAAAACACTGATCTAGAAAGAAAAGAAAACCAAAAAGTAAAGAAAGAAAAAAAATGAAGTATCAAACATGTTATGATACACAAAAATCGATTACCACTATAGAAACTCACATCGTGAAAGCAAAACCTACCAGTTACAGAAGGCAATACAGAGCAATAACCTCAGTAAGAGTAAAAACAAAAACGCCTACACACACAAACATCTCAAAAAAAGCTCAGCGACCCAGCAAAATCATCAATCAAATAAAAAGATATTAAACATTAGCCCAATTTACCCAGTAAACACAGAAATATACACCAACTATGGGTATAAGTCTATGTGTATATATACGCAATTATAAATATAAATTCATCTGTTATCATTATTTCTTTTTTCCCACTACAAAAAGCAATTCATCATCATCATTACAGTGCAAGCCCAGTTAAACACACAGAGAGTCTCCAAGAACACACACACACACACACACACAATGGAGTAGTAGCCATAATAATAATTATAGGATAAACACAGAGAGCAAAAAACACACACAAAACACATTAACATTAAGAAACAAAAAAAAGAAGGTAATCCCAACAGGTGGAAGATTAATTAGACTGTAGTGTGGATGTATGCAAAGAGAAGAAAAAAGAAAACAAAGGATGACCTGAGTCACACCACACCACAATCAGCACACAAGAATACAGGCCAGTGTAACCACAATCAGTAGTGGTACACGCACCCACACAGAACTGCTGATACTGCTGCTGTCAACATTGGCCTTCACATTTGGCATCATCGTGTTTGAAGACACAGGAGGAAGTGGTGTTGTCGTTGGTGTGATTGATTCCTCGTTACTGGTTGTATTGATAGTGAGGGAGGTCGTGTTTTCGGCTTTAGTGGTCTTACCTGTATCAGTGGTTGATGGAGAGTCCTGTGTAGAGGGTGTTTGTTCCTTCGTAGTACTGTTTTCATGAGTCTCCGAATTACTAGTACTGGGTTCAGTAGAAAAAGTAGAGTTTGATGTATTTTGAGGTCCATCCTTTATATCGCTTTCGTTGCTCTGTGTGTTTTCACCTTGAAGTTTATCGTTTTGGTTACTAGTATCTTGTGCGGGACCACCACTCTCACTCTGCTTAGATAAGGTTTCTTCACTTTTTGGGGGGTCACCAGAACGTGGTGCAGAAGAAACAACAGACGAAGAAGAACTTGGGGCGGCTTCAGATAATATTTGTGTTTGAATTCCCTGAAGGATTCCAGTAGGATCATCTATCTTACCCACTGCAGTATCTTGATGTTCCTTAGTTATTTCTTTCTCTGTTGCCTCTGTTCCCGGCCCTTCCGCAGCCTTCTTTTGCTCTTTCTGGTCTTTATCAACGGGTTTACAACCAGAAGGGCCATTCTGTTTACCACTAGGACCAGTATCCTCTTTCAACGCTTGTACGCTTTCCTTAA